TGCAGGCGGGTTTAGGTACCCGCCAGCTAGGGAGGAGACGGCGGGAGCCACCCAGGCCTTTGGAGTTTGCCCCACGTGAGCGCCAGATATTGGAGAAATTATTTTGGCCACTCCACGTAGTTAAAAGGATATTTATTAAATGGCGTAACTCACAAATTAAGTAATGGGTAGGTCACAGGGTCTGGGGAAGGTGTATTGCAATCCAGCGGTGTTCTCCGGAGCTCTGCACAGTCAATCTGCACCGGTCAGCGTCCGGCACCGAGAGAGTGCCCAGAGCGAGCGCTGGCCCATCCAGCTCTCGGGTCCCCAGGCGCCTCCCCTCGCCCCTGGCTTGACAGTTGCCAGAGTCTCAATGGGGGTTGGAACTTCCAGAACCAAGCTGGAATGGCTACCCACTACATAGGTGTGTGGATTTACTTCTAGGTCTTCGATTTGATTCCATTGATTAACCTGTCTGTTTTTAAGCAATTTTAATTATTGCTTCTCCATAGTACAGCTCAAAATCAGAGATGGTGATTCTTCAGAAGTTTTTTTATTGTATAGAATTATTTTAGCTATCCCTGTTTTTTTTGTTTTTCCATATGAAGTTGAGTATTATTCTTTCAATCTCTGTAAAGGATTGTTGTTGTTGTTGTTGTTTGCTTTTGCTCTTTTGGGGGGCCTGCCACTCATCTCCTAAATAAATCACACACAGAGGCATATTATTACTTATAAATGCCTGGCCTTAGCTTGGCTTGTTTCTTGCCAACTTTTCTTAACTGTAAATTATTCCATCTAACTTTTGCCCCTGGGATTTTATCTTTTTCTTAGTTCTGTATTTCTTACTTTCACTCTTACTCCATGGCTGGCTGTGTAGCTGGGCGGCTGGACCCTTGCCTCCTCCTTCTTCTCTAGCTACTTCTTTTCCTCCCAGATCTCTCCTATTTATTCTCTCTGCCTGCCAGCACCACCTATCCTTTATCCTGCCTCACTATTGGCCATTCAGCTCTTTATTTGACCATCAGGTGTTTTAGACAGGCATGTAACACAGCCTTGCAGAGTTAAACAAATGCAAGATAAAATAATGCGGCACATTTTTGCATTATTAAACAAATGATTCCACAGCATAAAAAAGTAACACATCTTAAAATAATATTGTACAACAAATTGTGTTATGATTTTAATGGAGAGTGCATTGAATCTGTAGATTGCTTTTGGTAATATGACCATTTTTACTATATTAATCCTAACTATCCATCAGAATGTGAGGTCTTTCCATCTTCTGATATCTTCTTCAATTTCTTTCTCAGAAACTTGAGGTTCTCGTCATACAGGTCATTCACTTGCTTGGTTAGAGTTTCCCCAAGATATTTTATATTATTTGTGGCTATTGTGAAGGGTGTTGTTTCCCTGATTTCTTTCTAAGCCCATGTATTATTTGTATATAGGAGAACTACTGAGTTTTTTAGTTAATTTTATAACCATCCATTTTGCTGAAGATGTTTATCAGCTGTAGGAGTTCCCTGGTAGAATCTTTTGGGTCTCTTATGTATACTATTATATCATCTGCAAATAACGATACTTTAACTTCTTTTTTTCCAATTCATAACTTTGATCTCCTTTAGTTGTCTTATTGATTTAACTAAAACGTCAAGTACTATATTGAATAAATATAGAGAGAATGGACTGCTTTGTCTTGCCCCTGATTTTAGTGGAATTACTTTGAATTTCTCTTCATTTGATTTGATGTTGGCTGTAGGCTTGCTGTATATTGCTTTTATTGTGTCTAGGTATGTCCTTTGTATCCCTGATCTCTCCAAGACTTTTATCATGAGGGGTGTTGGATTTTGTCAAAGGATTTTTCAGTATCTAGCAAGATCATCATGTGGGTTTTTTTCAGTTTGTTTATATGGTGGATCACATGACAGATTTTCATATGTTGAACCATCCCTGCATCTCTGGGATGAAGATGACTTGATTATGGTGGATGAATTTTTTGATGTGTTCTTGCATTTGGTTTGTGAGTATTTTTGCATCGGGCTTACAGAGACTAAACTGACAACCAAGGAGCCTGCATGGGATTGACCTAAGCTCTCTGCATATATGTTATGGTTGTGTAACTTGGTGTTCTTGTGGAACTCCTAACTGTGCGAGCGGGGGCTGTCCCTAATGCTTTGGCTCATTCTTGGGAATCTACTCCTTATACTAGGTTGCCTTGCCCAGCCTTAATACATGGGGGAGGTCATTAGTCTTACTGCAACTTGATATACCATGTTTTGTTGATATCCATGGGAGGCCTGCACTTTTCTGAATAGAAATGGAGGAGTGGATGCTGGGGGTGGGAGTGGAATAGGGGAGGCAGGGTTGTAGGGACTGGAAGAGAGGAGGGAGGGTTAACTGTGGTTGGGTTGTAGAATGAATAGATAGATAGATAGATAGATAGATAGATAGATAGATAGATAGATAGATAGATAGATAAAATCACATGCATGAGGACCTGAGTTTGTTCCCCAATACCCATATAAAAAGATGGGTACAAGGAAAGATTAGCCTCCTGCATGTTGTCCTCTGGTCTCCACACACTCTCTGTGGCATTTGTACATGAGTGTGCACACACAAACGCACATAAATAAATGAATGTAATAAAAACCTTTAAAAAAGAAAACAAAGAACTAATGCTTTTGTAAGAGATTTCCAATTAAAGTTAAGAAATCAAAGATACTGGTGTTTAAAAGGATGTGTCAGCAAAAACAATTTTGCCATTCAAATACCCAATTAATTCTTTGGGTATTCTGGACTAGAATAGATGGAAGGGACCCAAAGATTGGCTAGCACAAGTATTTTATAGGGAGAGCATGAAAGTACAAATAATGCAGGTACTCATCCAAAGTTGCCTCTATCTTTCAGACGCTATACCTATGAGGTCTCACTAACATGACAGCCTAAACATGGGCTGAACAATGACACATCCATAGACAAGCCAAAGTGACTGAGAAAAACCCCATGAGGGCCCAACCCTATACAAAGAACTACAGACAACTAAGGAATACTAAGATCAGGAGAAATAGTCTTCCTCGGGGAAAAGCATATCAATTGATTTATCAATACCAAATGGTCAACCCTGAAAACATGCATAGAAGTAACATTATATATATGCACACAATAATAATCATTAATATAAAATAGGCCATGAATTTGAAAGAGAACAAGAAGGAATATGTGGACGTATTTGGAGGGAAGAGAAAGAGGGGGCTAAGGCCTATACAGGTATTGGGTCCCTGGACACCTCACCACAACCCAGGGAGGCAGGCTCTCCATTATGGGAGACGACCTGTGACCCTTCTGACATTCTGCCTTCTGCCTAGCTCACTGGAATAAAGGTCTGAGGAGCATGCCAGTAGAATGATGTTCTTTGTTGTTTTTTTTTTTTTTTTAAAAAAAAAAAAAACTTTGTTTCAGGCCAAAGAAAAGCAGGAAGAGCAGTATCCTTTGCTGGGAACTAAAGAAAAGGCTATAACCAAGCCGAAACAAGCAGACGAAAAGGAGCAGAAGGTGGACAACACAGGTTAGCATACCTTCACTGCCAGCCTGTGGATCTCTCTGGCTTTGATGCACAGTACAGTGTGGTGAGAGCTATAAACAAAAATGTTACCCTGGGTCCTCTTGGGATTTTCAATGTCCTGTGTATACAAGTGAGCTGGAGAGAGGGTTCTGCAGCTAAGAGCATATTCTGCCCTTTCAGAGGACCTCAGTTTGGTTCTCAGCACTCAAATAAGGCAGCTCACAACTGTGTGTAACTCCAGCCCCAGGGGAATCTGACAGTGTGACTTCTGTGGGCACCTACTTGCACATACCCATAGACATAATTAAAAAAATAATGAAAGCTTATGCATGCATTAGGCCCCAAGACACCCACCACAACCAGGGAAGCAGGATCTCCACTGTGAGAGACTTTTTGTGTGATTCTCTGTCCTTCTGCTTTCTGCCTAGCTTACTAGTGAAAAGAGCTGAGAACCTTTTCTGAGGTAGATACCCATACACAAAGCTTTTAATTAAAAAAAGAGGTTCATGCAAGCACAGTCCAAGATTCTCAAGCTAAACTGGCAAAAACGATGTATGTACAGGCTTTGTGGAAAGGATTACACATGGTTTTCTATCCGATCTAAGTGAATTTCCAACTGGAGAGGCACGTTCTTTGTAAATGTGTTCAATTCTTTCAAGTGAATATGCTTGCTGAGTGAGGCAGAGTAGAGCTCGTGATGGCCTCTTCAGTATTCTTCCCCAACAACATAAGAAGATAGGGACAACTGAACTGAACTGGCTCTCCCAAATCATTCTCCTAGGAATCACCTTTCTCTTCCAGTATAGAGAAGGTTTACTGTGCACAATGGCTTCACATATCCATGGCTACTAGAGCTCATCTGCAGTTGCAGCCAGATATCCTTGGCAGCCATCACCTGATCAATTTCCAAATGAATTCCACTAGAGTGAAAACTCTGTGTATGTGTGTTTGCATGTGTACATGGATGGAGTTTAGCTTTAGCTAGATGGCAAGCTAATTTCGTGCAGTGTTTGACAAAATTAAATTTCAGTTCCGTCACTTAAATTGAATGGTTGTCAGGGTTTTCTATAAGTGATTTCACGTGTGGTTTCAAAGATAGGGCTTAAGGCATGTCCCAGACAAACAAAACACTAAAAAAGTCTTTCAAAGAAGGACAAGAGGGAGGAAGAAAGGGACATGGATTAAGAGCGTAATCTCATTTTTCACCCATGGAGGTAGATCTGAGTCAATATCCCTGGTCTACCTTGGTTGCTGTTGCACAGGAAAGGCCTAATCCAGAAAGAGCAGACGCTCTTCTTTGTGCTGTATGCTGCATATGCAACCACTACGTGGCACGACAGACTCAATGTCTGTGAAGAAGGACCCACAACTGGGTCCTTTACCACCTAGATCAAACTGCACAGAAAAAAGTCCTGAAAAAAGCACTTGTATTCAGAAGGTTTCTCAGGTCCCACCTGGCCCCCTTAGACCCGCAGCTGCTTATAAAATAACCACGCAGAGGCCATTAGCTGAAACTTATTACTGACTAGCTCTCACACTTAAATTAGCCCATAATTCTTATCTATATTTAGTCACATGGCTTGTTACCTTTTCTCAATTCTGCCTTGTCATCTTGCTTTTTCTGTGTCTGGCTGGTGACTCCTCCTCTGCCCTTCCTCTTCCCAGCATTCTCCTCTTCTACTTGTCCTACATATACTTCCTGCCTGGTTACTGGCCAATCAGCATTTTATTAAACCAATGTACAAGAGTATTATCTTACAGCATTTCCCCTTTTCTGTCTAATCAAAAAGGAAGGCTTTAACTTTATTATAGTAAAATTACATATAACAAAACAGTTATCAAGCAAGAATTACAATTACAGTATCTAGTCTATTTGTATTTGGCAAATTTAAAGAAAATATTCTGCCATCTATCCTATTTTGTGAGTCTAAGGTTTTATATCTAATTTATCTTTTATCATAACCAAGGAAAATTATAATTATAACTATCTCGTCTTCAACTACATCAAAGACTCTAGAAGGATATAATATTACCTAAGTAAACAGGAAGGGCATTGTAAGCAACTTCCAAAAGTCTAGAATGATGGAGACAGCTGGCTACCTGGACAGTCCCTCAAAGTTCCTCTGCAACGTTGGTTCATCCATCTTCAGCCTACAGGCCTAGCCTCTCAGTCATTTTTCCTGTGTCCTGTAGAATGTTTGGCAGTCTCCTCTGCAAAGCAGGAACCTAAAGAACCATTTTACCTTGTTTTGGCAAATTCAGTGGTCATTTTCCTATGGGTCCTGTATGTCCAGTTTATACAACATATTATCAGCAGTCCAGGCAAGAGCAGCCTCTTGCCTAATGGCTATTTTTGCCAAGAAGAAGATAAACTCCATATGGAGTGTCTTTGATGCCCATCATCTTCCTTGAAGTAATTGGTGCTGCCAGGAGCAGACGTGTCTCATTGTTCAGAAAAGTCTAAGTTTTTAAAACATTTTAAATGCCATATTCTGTAAGTGTTTGAAGATTACCTACCTAATTGAAATATATCTTTATATACCTAAAAACTTAACTAACATGACTATAAGTTTGATTGTCATAGCTAACTAGTTATTAATCAGTATTTCTTAATTATACATTACAATTTTAAATGAGTTGCATGAACATAATACCTGAAACAAGAGCAGAAATATATAGTATAACAAAATTAACGTTAAATTTATATCAATAAACTAAAATCCATAGCAATGTAAAACATTTAAAACAAGTTGTTGCTCTTTAAAAATTGATTAAATAATCTACCCTTTCATCTTATCATATCTATATCAGAGCACTTACACAGATGCAATTGATGAGGTGTTGGGAGTTCTGCTTTGAGGGTATTCAAAGAACTGCTTTACACGTGTGTTACACAGGACTGTCTTAAGGCAAGGAGGTAGAAAACAGAAGAAAAGGGGGCCATCATCTTAACCTCTCAAATAATTCCTTTGACATTTTTCTGAAAAAAATCCATGAATCCATATAATACAGAATTTCAAGAAGTTTGAATAAGTACTATATAGAAAATAAGAATATTAATCAGAAAGTAAAAATTTCCCCTTGCTGGGCTGGAGAGACAGATCAGATGTTAAGAGCAATTGCTGCCCTTCCAGAGGACCCAGTTTCGTTTCCCTACTTGGAGGCTCACCAACATCTGTAACTCCAATGGATCTGAGGCCCTCTTTTGGCCTCTCCAGATACCAGGCACATATGTGGTGCACAGACATACATGCAGGCAAAACATCCACATACATAAAATAATAATACGAAAGTCATTTTAAAAGAATTCTCCTTGCTCCTGCTCCAGTCATATTTCTCAAATGTAAACAGTGTTACAAAAATATAATTTGCCTCTTTTTGAATCTCACACCTAATGGTCAATCAGACTACTGATGAAGTGCTATCTGCTCATAGGATTGAAATTTCCCTTTGATATTAACATTTCCCATAACTTAAAGCTAATAGTGAACAGGAGAATGTCTTCTGCATAGTTACATCTTCATATCAGGGGATTCAGTAGTAAACATAGCCAGGGAGGAGTAGTACTCTTTTAGGAAGTTGAAAGCACACACATCTCTCCTTTCCTTTTTACATTTGGTACAGGGCCCACAAGCCAGGAGCAGAGCTACAAAACCGAAATTCAGGATAAGACAAGAGATCAGACTCTAAGTACCGATGGTGCCTCAAGCACAGGATACTCGACTTCAGGATCCCAACCAAGAAGACGTAGAAGAAGGGCCAAAAGTGAGTGGGGGATCATCGAAAGAAGCCTTGCACAATACACTCAAGACGGTGACGAGAGCAGTAGAGGTGATTCCTCACCTAACGAAGAGTTGATCAGCAGGGACCAAGCTTTCTTGAAGCTCTTCCTGGAGAAGCAAGGCAAAGAGCATACTACAACTGCAGAAGTGCAAGTTACTACTCCTCAGGAGATGTCTGTAGATGAAAAGAATGTGAAGGGGGAAATGGCTGCCATGAAAGTTGAAGTCCAAAGAACAGCAGCACGACAACCTACACCTACAAATGTGGCAGAGTCCATGGTTGGTGGTCTGCCACTCAGCCGTGAAGAAGACTCTTCTGAAGGCATGAAAAAAAGGGATAGAGCTGTTTTGTTTTCACGGCTAAACAAATCTTCCACAAGCCAAGAAGAGGCCACTGCCTCGAGGACAATAGAGGTCCAGGCATGTGTACATCATTCTCAAGTCCGTGGAGAAAAGGAAGAAGTATCCAGCCTTGGTTTGCAAAAGTTTCAACCCAAAATGGAGAGCACAGCTTACCACAGAGAGAGGCATGCCAGAGGTTCTCTTCAGGCTTTTTCAGCAAGTGTTTCAAGCGCTAAGGCAGAAGATACTGTTCCTAAGCAGAGATTGCCTCTTCCTTTCAGAAGGTGGCCAACTGAAAGGGAAATCTCCTCTGATACGAAGAGTTCTTCAGAGTATGAGAGTAGCTCTGAAGTGCAACCAGGTCCCACACATTCTTTTCAGCTTGCATGGAACCCTCAAGATGATGATGATGTCTTCCTCAAATCAGAAAATGTAGGTGCAGAACTGAGCAAGGTGGAGCGGCAGCCCCCTCTAGGCTATTGCTCCCAGTCATTTGGAAACCCCAAAGCTAGAGAAGTCTCCTTAGACCTAGACAGTTCAGAAGATCAGAGAAGCTGTGAGGAGATGACATCTGCCCACTCTTCCCAGTCCTTGGGGGAGTTTGAAGAATGCTCAGAATCAAGAAGTTTTAGCATAGATTCAATCTCTCAAGAGCAGTTAACTCCCAGGAGACATTCCCAGGCCTTACAGGGGTCTGAAGAAAAGGAAGTCTCCACAGAGTCAAGTAGTTACGTTGAGAAGTACCACAGTTCTGAGGATCTTAGCAGCACGGAGGAAGAGCAGCCTCCCGAATGTTCTCAACAGACCCGGGGTCAGTTCAGAGACCAGCAAGAAGTGCCTCCAGTTTCAAAGAGTGCTCCAAAAGAGTTGAGTGTTTCTGCTAAGCCACTGCGCCTCATGCACACATCTCTACCCATTGTGAGCCCTATTATTCAGCAGCAAACCCCCATTTCAATGAACATTTCTGTAGGACAGAACAGATCAGTGGCACCACTGCCTCTCAGCCACACTGTCAAGCCGTGGGTGAGCCCTCAGTCTGAGCATCAAATGTTTGCAGGTCCAGAGGGCATTGCTGCTGACTGGGACAAATATATGCAGTCACCGTCCCCTAGAAAGGCTTTGATGCACCCAATGGGGTACAATGTTGAGCAAAATGTACCCTCGAGTACAGACATTTCGACCATGGGAGAGGTGGCTTCTATGGAGGCCCTGGTTCTCAGACACCATTCTCAGCCCCCAGTCAGACAAGTACTTGAGAAAGATGTTTCTGCAGGCCCAGAGTTTGCTGTTTTTAAAGATCGTATTGCTTCACAGCCTCTCAGATACTCTTCCCAGCCCTTGGTGAGATCAAACATCAAGAAGGAAATACCACTGGGTGCAGAAAGTGCTGCATTTGAGGGAAGCCGTTTTATGGAGCCCCCGCCTCCTCAGCATCATTCTCAGCCCCTGTTGAAACCCTTCATCAAGCACCAGGCTTCTGCTTTTGAAAGAGGTGTTTCTATGGATCCAAGGCTTCGGGCACACCCTTTCCAGCCATGGACAAAGTTTCAAGGGAAGCGATCATTTTCAACTCCAGAGAGCACAGCTTTTGAAGGGAACCCTTCTACGGAGCATGGGTGTCCTACCCTTTCCCAGCCTGTGCAGCAGCCTTATCAAAATGTGCCTTTAGAATCTGAAGCTGTTGGTGCAAAGATAATTTCAATGGGCCCACTGCACACCAAATATTCTGCTCAGTCTTTATCAAATCCTCAAAGTCATCCAGCCTCAGAAAGTACCTCTGTAGAAGGTGCCACTTTGGTGGAACTACTGCCTCCTCAGCCTTCAGTAAAGCCCAAATTCCAGCCACAGATGACCCGAGATCCAGTGAGCGCTTCCACTCAATGGGGCAGCCCTATGGAGCCAGTATCTGTTCAACGTATCTTCCAAACACAGGCTAGCCCTAAATTTAAGCAAGTGCCTACAGGTCTAGATAGCCCTGAAGCCCAAGGGAGCATCTCTGTGCAGCCAGGTTCCCCCAGATGCCCTTCCCAGTCATGGTTGACTCCTACCTTTGAGCAAATATCTGTACCCCCTGGCAATGTTCCTTCTGCATGGTCCACTCATAGTTATCCAACAGCTCCCAGAATGCCTTCTCAGCCCTTGATGGGATCAGTAGTCCAACAACCAGTTTCCTCAGGATCTATGAACCCATCTGTACAACAGATCGTCACTGTAGAGCCAATGTCTTCTAGACACCCTTTGCAGCCATGGCCAACTTCTCCATTTGAACAAGTCACTGTGCCTTCAGACAGTGCTCCAGTGGCAGCCTGGAGCATTCCTGTTGAACCACCAGCTACCAGAATGCTTTCTCAGCCCTTGATGGGGTCAGTGGTCAAACAACCAGTCTCCACTGAGTTAGTGAGCATTTCTGCACCACAGAGCAGCTCCATGGAGCTAATTCCTTCTAGATTCCCTTTCCAGCCAAGAGTAGATCCAGAGAGTTATACAGCAGAGGAGGGAGTTTCTGTAATGATGAGGCCTAGAAGGCGTCATTCTCAGCCCCCAATAAGCACAGGATTTAAGGAAGAAATTTCCCCAGATTCAGTCAGAACTTCTGGAGAATGGGGCATTCCTATCAAGCCAATGCCTTCCAAATTTGCTACTCAGCCATGGCTGGGCCCTGCATTTGAGCAACAAACCTCAAATCTAGAAGGTTTTGCCAAAGAGGAGGAGGTTTCCAAGGAGGCATGGCTTTCCAGAAACCCTTCCCAAGTCATCATCAAACATCAAGTCCCGAAAACACCCATAAGTTTTGAGAGTACCTCAGCTGAGGGAGGCGTTCCTTGGAAGTCACTGCCTCTCAAAGGTCCCACCCCATTCTTAATGAGACCTCAAATTCAGGAAATGTCCTCCAGCCTAGAGAGTGTTACTGCTCAAGACAGCTCTAAGAAACCACAGGATAGCAGCTCTTCTCCCCAGTCATTTGTGAAGTTTATGGCAGAGCAAATCTTTTCAGGGAGCACTGCTAGTGAGGCGGACATTTATACGAAGCCTATGCTGCAGAGCCGAAGCCGTCCTTCCAGATCCTTATTGAAGCCTAAACTCGAGGAGCAAACGTTCTTATACAAGTGGGATGATGAACCCAAGGAAGACACCGCTTTGAAGGCTCTGCCCATGAAGCCGCCTTCACAGTCCCTCAGAAGGCCTGAAGAGTCACAGGAAATCGTGTCATATTCTGAGGGTGCCCCTGCCAAGTGGAGCAGTTCTGCGGCGGATGCCTCTCAGCCCCTCGGAAAGCTTGAGTATGGCCAGAAAGTCTCAGTTTCTGTCAGTATTCCCAAAGAGTGGGTGAGGTCTGAAGACCAGCTGCCTTCCACACAGCCTTCTCAGGCCTTCAATGTAGCTGGGCTGCAGCCACCGATTTTATCAACAGGCTCCGCAAATGTTCCTGTGGACTGGAGCTATCCCGAGGGGCAGTGGGCTCCCGGTCAGCCTACTCAGGCTTTCTTGATCACTGACTATCAGCAACAAGTTTATTTAAGCTCTGCTAATGCTGCTGCCGAAGGGACCATTTCTCAAAATACTGGCAGCTGGTCTTGCCCAGATTCTCCAAAGAAAACCACGAAATACACACAAGGCTATGGGGACCTCATTCAAAGCACCCCAACTTCTGTTACCAAACCTGGAAAGCTCACTACTGGTCCTGCCCAGAAAGCATTTGTTTGCACAGGCACTTACTCCAAGGAGGAAGTTCCTCAGGGTCCTGATGGAAACGAGAGCCCTCCGATGGTATCCACCAGCAAGGCTGATGTCGAAAATGTTTTTGGAGTGCGACTTCGAAGAATTTCACAGAAGAGTGGGACTGAGAATCTTGATCCTTGCACACCGGTTGTCCCAGCAAGCAAAGAATGGATGGACAAAGGAGCTCCCCAGGGCTTCAGTGGAAGCCTAGGGAATTTCAGCCCAATACTTAGCTTTGCAGAAAAACAAGGGAGCAGGCCCAGATATGAAGGCCCTTTCAAGAAGCCAGCAGTTTACAGGCCTCCAGGTGAGAGTTTTGTCTTTCCAGGTAGAGGAAAGACCTGCAAGGCAAAGCCTTGGGTGGATGGACTGTGAACTCTCTAGCCTCTAGGCTTCCTACTGTACTGTTGCTTTGACAGGACTAGTCGTGGGTTTAGAGGTGGGGCAGTGCCCCATCCTGGATGAATAGATTCAGAAGGAACTTCTTTGTAGTCTTCCAATGTTGCAGCAGTTCCAACATCCATGCACATTTCATTAATATACTCATAATCACCTCTTCTTCCTTCTCCATCTAACTCATGTATAGTATTCTTTGGGCAGACTCCTATGAGTTTCTAAAAAAATAATAATTATAACTTTAATACACCATGTCACTTTAATCTGCTAAACAGATCTCCAAAACTCAGTTCATTAAGAGCAATATGTTTACACTCTTACCCTGAAATCATCTTAATTTAATCCAGATCAAGGTGACCTTCTGAGTCCTACGTTTTTCCAAAAACGTTGTGCCCTCGGTATCACCTGTGCCTAGTCTTGTCTCTGCCTCTGGTCACAGCTATTTCACCATGGCACAAGGGACAAAGAAGTGACAGACTATAAGAAGATGTTTCTTAGCGTTTGGGGGATTATATCAATGGTCTGAGTCTCTGGCATCTTGAGAATTTTCTCAGCCTACCTGTCAACCATTGTCTTGCCCTGATTTGGGATTGTGAAGAGGGATAGCTAAAGGAAAGAAAGGGTTCAGTAAGGGATCCACAACTATTGAACTATTTAATCTTGCCTTCCCAGTTTTTAGGAAGGGTACAAAAGAGAATGGCCCTTCTCTACATCCTATCTATTCTTGTTTGACAACCAGAAAGGATCCCACTTGGAACACTACTGTGGGCAACCTCGCCCAGACTGATGACCTTCTGCCTAGCTTCTGTTCTAATTCTTTTCATTTCTTTTTCAGGAAAGACCTCTAATTGGAAGGCAGATTACAGTACAGAACCAGCTTGGATCAATGTGGCAAAACAGAGGCAAAAGGGCTTTGTGTCACACTTTCTCAAAAAAACAAAGACCAAAGTTGAAAATAGGGGTGAGACCAAGGAACCAAGACATGAGTCAAATTATGAGCCAGACTTGGAAATTCCAGTAAAGGTTAGTGGAGCCACTGACTAAGCTTGCACTGGGAATTATGTCAGACATGCAGTGACCATCTCTTATTGGGAGCATTAATCAAGAACAGTTCTTCTTTAAGGGTCTTTATTTGTATTCACACAAATGTGACAGCCTTGGTGCTCTTGGAGCATTTATGAAAAGTATTGGATATGAAGATAGTCTATAAATCAAGCCTTGCCCTAAATATTCTAAAGCAGGTTTCCATGAAATTGGTTGCATAAAAAGAAGTAGTTAAAACAACAACAGCCCTATCACTACAAACAACAACAATAAAACAGAGATAACCAATAGGGTAAAAACTGAGCAACTATATATTACACCTTTAAGTACATGCATATGATTTTCATAAATGAGAATCAAACTATAAACACAGTAGGCCCCTTTCCCCACAGAGAATACATTACAAGAGTCTCTGTGATGCCTGGAGCTGCACATAGTAAAGAGCCCTGTAAGTGAATGCCCTTTTCATTTTAACTCATTACTTACACATTGTGACTATTAACTTTAAAAATTTGAGCTCAAAGCTAGCATTCCTCCCAATTTCAAAATCAGATCCTAGCATGTGTAAACACGTTGATTCAGAACAGTTGTGTAGAGATCAACTTTAAAGGCCTAAACAATACAGTTACACCATTTCCTAGTGGAAAAAGCACTTCTAGTCATATACCAACTAGTCTGGGAAGGTAGAAAATTGTATAGTGCTCACTGAAACCAGCTGAGCAGATTTGTTTGTAACTATCACATTCTGTTAGCTCACAGCTAAGTGGTGGTACATGCTATAGAGAAGGTTGTTCTCCCATCCAAGTAATAACCAGGTCTTGCACTACTTAGCTTCTGAAAGCAGTGGAGATTGGGCACAGTTATGGACATAGATAAGAGAGAAGGTATTCTCCTATCAGTCTGTTCACACAATTTGTGTGACTAGATAGCTTTTCTTCCTTATCTGAAAGTCAGCTTGAGTATTTGTTAATAATTTAAGTTCTGGGACTGGAGAGATTACTCAGTGGTTATGAGGATTTAGTGCTCTTGCAGAGGACATGGGTTCAGTTCCCAGCACCCTCATAGTGGCTCATGACCATCCATACCTCCAGTTCCAGGGATGCAATATTCTCTTCTGGCCTCAGGGGCAGTGCCTGGGGTGTACACACATATATACAGCAGAATACTTGAACACACAAAATAAAAACCAATACATCATTAAGTAATACATATTCCAAATAAATCATTAAATATGTATGTATGTATGTATGTATGTATGTATGTATGTATTCTAAGCCCAAGGAGCTTTGTGCTATCTTTTGTTATTGATGTATATAATCAATTTCTATAGTTATATATTTCTATCTAGATGTATACTTCCGAATCAATATCTCTATCCTCTATCTCTTTTTTCCTGATTATTGTTGAGCTTATAGCACCCCGGACAGGGTTTACTGAAAGGATGATAATCGGCGCTGGTGGCAGCACTGGTTGTGGCGTGTGGTGCTAGTTACCTCATGGAAAGGTCACGGTCACGACAGAACCCAGTGTTAGTTTTCAGAGCATTTTAGGAGGGAAGCGGGGAAGGGGGAAAGAGGGGAGCCAGGCCTGGAGAGAGAGAAAGATGGTGGGGGGAGGGGAGGGACCAGAGCAGAGAAGAGAGCAGAGAGAGAGGGTCAGCATCAGGTTTTTAAGCATCAGATTATGTGACCATGCTGTACCGTACGTAGTGGCGAGCACCCCCTGATGACGTAAGACACAAGACCCTGAGCTGCACACGTGTAGGAGTGAGGGCAGGATCCTAACACTTACACCATGTGATCCTCTGAGTAGTTTGCTGTCGTTATTGTCAGAACTTACAAAGGTTTTGTTTTCATTTTGGTATTACAGGAACATGAACCCATAGCTGATAGCCCGTCAAGAATGACTTTTTCTTCCACTGTTCCCAGACAGGAGATGTCAAAGCTGTATAAGTCTACAAAAACAGGTAAAAGCACACATTCTGATCTGTCAAAACTAGCCATGGAGGAATGTGGTGAAATGTTTTGCAATTTCAAGTTCACTCAATGTATTTCTCTTATTAATCAAATCAGCTTCATGATTCTTTCTTGTCTCTTCCATGGAATGCAACAGATTTACTTTAAGAAAGTTCAATTGTTATATCTGAGTGCAGTGTACAATTTCCATAGCCCTTTCTAGTCTCTCACACCTCACTGAAGAAGCTGACAAGGCAAGGCACAAAACGTTCCTGTGCTAGATAGGAGAGGAAAGCACTAAGTCATTTTCTAGGTGTAGCAAAGCAATGTTTCTTCACCTGTTCTAACCTCAATGAAACTGTTGATAATCCACTGTAAAGGCCCGGTAGCACTGATTCATTGAAAAGGCTCACTTCATACACTCTATATTCTGACTAGGGGTGTGAGACATGGGGGTATGTTGAATGCTGCAGATAAATGCGACAGGAAATGATCGACTGTGACCTCATCAGTGAGAGTTATGTACCAGAGGGATTTCCTCAGCAGGAGCTGAAGGAGAGGAGGATGGATATTTTTAAAGTAACATAAATCTTTTCTTGATTCTTTAGGAATTTCACATCACACACCCCAATCCCACTCACCTCAAGTCCCTCCATATCCTCCCCTCAGCCCTGCCGCATCCACCCAAAGAACACCCCCCAAAATTTAATTAAAAACAAAAAAAAACAAGCAAAGAACCACACTTCACTCCTCTGTCTTTACCACCTCTCCAACACCTCTTCATTCATTTTAGTGACATTGAGAGCTGCAGTGTGTCACACAGTATATATACCCTTTTGTCCAATCAGCTTCATCTGCAAATGTTCATTGCAATGAATCATTGGTCTGGTTCAAGGCCTCTGGCCTCTGGTACACCATCATCCCTGGACTCTTACTGAAACTGGAGAGGAGGATGGACTTACATTTAACTCAGGGACCCATTATTTCACTGTGGAAATAGCAGTCATCATATTGATCCATGTCTTATGAGCTGTATATTCCTGAAATGTGGTTCTCAGATCTCCTGAAGAGTAGATCCACCAGGAAGCTTGTTAAATGATAGATAGTCCTAACTGCTTCCCTACTGATTCAGTTGGTTCAAGAAATGGACACTGACAGTTTTTGTGTTCTCTTTTTTTGTTTTTTGTTTGTTTTGTTTTTGTTTTTGTTTTCTGTTATTGTGGTTGTCATTTGATTCCAGTGATACAGCCCAAGCTAGAGCATCAAACTCCTAGTCTTCCTGCCTCAGCCTCCCAAATGCTGGGATTACAGGCATGTCCCATCACACCCAGATACTCTGGCATTTGAAAAACATTCCTAGATGATTCCACTGTGTAGTTAGAATTGAGAACCACTTGTTTAGTTGAAGCTTTTAAGCTGTAGAGCAGGACAAGGGAGGGAGTAGAGTTGGGAAACAGCAGTCTGTCTGGCCACAGTAGTTGGCAGAGTATTCTTTCTCTGGCTCTTATTACATAGATCTATTGAGCCATCAGTTATTTAATTTCACAGTGTTAGTGTCTAGTGAAAAGAGATCTGAAATTTAAAAAAAAAGGAATAGGTATAATATGTCTCCCTTTGGGTGTGAGTTCAAAAGTATAACATAGTCAAATAGTAAATGTCAAAAGATTGGCTGCAAGAATCACCTCACATGCCTTGCCATGGCCATAATCCTATAGCCATTTCCAACTTGATGCTGCCCCCTGGACATACATAACTACTGCACCCTTCACCCAAGCTCTGATTTTTAGAAGTCTGACTTCTAAGAGAACAATGGTTGGAAAGTACTAAGAACTGGGTGATCATAGAAAACATACAAGGATGGTGCATTTCACTTCATCTTTAAATATATTCCAGTGTCTCTGGGATTTCTGACTGTATGTTGTTTGTTGTGATTCCAGTTGCATTTGGTGATCAGAACTTGCCTCATCCATATATCAGTGAAAGAGAAACCAGACGCTCTTCAAGTCTGCCACCCAAATTTTCACCACCTGAGGAGCCTGTGTGGTTCGCAATGGCCAAGAAGAAATCTCAAGCATGGAGCCAAATGTCAGAGATCATGAAATAAATAGCTCCTGGACAGAGCAGCAGCATTTTCAGTAATAATTGCTAGTAGCTGTGGTAATTTCATATAACATTTTTACTAGGGCTAGTTTTTATTAAGAAAAATAACATTAGAAATAGAAATTAACATTTTAATTGAGTGAAATAAATGCTACTAATGTCTAACCCTCAGTAAGTCACTACCAATATCCCCAAATCCAGCATGTTCTCCGGAAAAGTTATGCTATAGAATTGCAAAACATTGTGCCTTAGAAGAAAGAAAACAACCACATTTTGCTCCAGCAACTAAAAGATTGCCATTTCTTTCAACCGAATAATTTCAGTGGAAAGATTCAGGTAATTTAGCCCAGGGAATGGATGTACTTTCAACCAAGAAGATAGCAAGCCCACTAGTTAGACTGTGTCTGGGTCCTCTGGAGAGTGTCCTGCCTCTCCGGCTCCAGGCTTAAGGGAAAGAACTCTGTGTAACTCAGCATCTTAGTTACTTTTCCTATTGCTGTAATAAATTCTCTGATAAGATCTAGCTAAAGGAGAAAGGGCTTATTTTGGCTTAGAGTTCGAGTGTGCAGCCCATTGTAGCAGGGAATTCTCAGCAGCAGGAACTTGAGGAAGTTGGTCACATTGCTTTTCCAGTCAAGATATGGAAAGTAGTGAATTACTATGTTCAATTCACTTTCTGGAATGTATATATATTCCAGGATCCAAAGCCTATGGAATGGTGTCACCTATGGCAGGTGGGTTTTCCCCACCTAAATAACTTTTTCATGTTCAGTTTCTCCACATTTATTCTATCTCTCAAGTTTAGCAAACATTATGAGAGATCTACGTTTAGATGCCTTAACAGTAAACCTAGCTCCAAAGGACATCCTAATTCCAAAGGACATCTACTTTTGTCACATTGTGCTTGCTTTGCTTAAACAGACATGCAGCTTTGACCATCTATGTTGGATGCCTCCCCATTCAAAACCAAGTTTAGAGAGGCAATGAGATTCTATAGCTAACTTAAATAATTGATGCTGGGTTTTAATGATGATGGTAAAATGACATGCTCTACAACATCATGCTGGATTTTTCATTTAATCTATAAGACATCTCCTTATTTTGATCCTCTAGTTTTGCCCTTTTGATAATGTTAAGTTTTTGATTGACTGGATTTCATTCCATTTATATTCCTTTAGTGAATAGTTTATTTAAACCAATGCCTTTAACATAGGTAGTCCTGGTATATTAGCTCTAACACTTCCCTTCCCCATTTTTGCCTATGCCTTCATTACATCATTACATCCCCCTTAATGATATCTCCCCAAGTACTAACAGACCTCAATTTTTAATCATGAGCTTAAGTTTTTTCAGTGCCTAGAAATGTATTCTGATAAGTTTACTTGTTTCTTTTAGCTTTCTTTCTTTCTTTTTATTAATGCAAAGCAAATAAATTCAATAAAGCTTGTTCTGTAGTCCATTTCTGTCTGGGGAAGAAGGAAGGAAGGGCAATAGAATATTGACAACAGAGACTGAAGATTTTCAATGGACTGAACTATTTTAAGAGGTTGCCTTGTGTAGAAGTAGTCTCCACACTGATGTGTCTGACCAAGCCGATGGTCTCCAAGTGGGCATGGTGGGGCGGCAGAAAGGACACGCCCATGGTGTCCAGGCAGCTTGAGGACTGCATCTAAATCGTACACAAAGATAAGCTTACAAACCAGTCATTTTCAAAATCATGGAGCCACTGAGCACATACAAAACTGTGTGGTGCACAATAAAGGAGGAAACGGAGTTATAACATCAACTATTTATTTAGTCTGGCTAGCGAGACCATTAGCTTAGTTTCAGAATGGGAGCTCAGTTGGAGAAATCCACATTTGGGACAACCAATAAAACATGTTTTATATGATGGTTTATCTTTTTTCATGTATGTTAATAATGACTAGAGAGACTAGAATGGATTTGAGAACATTCAAACTACTAAAGACCTAACCAATGTTGTGGCCCTTACTTCCCACTCCTGTTCCCCCTCTAGGCCCTGGCCTATCCCCTAGACCAAGCCCCAGGTCCTATGCTAGCTCTGGGAGCCTATACCTTGATAGGACAGTCAGATTTACCAAGGCTGGCCCATCCCAAGGGCAGAGTGCCACCACTAGAAGCAGACTGGAAAATAGTCAGAGATATTAACTACATGGGGCATATTCTAGCAGGATTAGGAGATCTTGCTTTCATAGGTTTCTGGCCCTCTACAGAGGAACAAGACAGTAAGATGGCCAAGGTGTGACTTAAGAAATATGGAGGTCAGGAAATGCATCCTTTATAACTAGATCTAAGAGCAATGATATTTTAACAGCTCATACAACATAAATAATAATAAATCCTAACCAGCTTGGTGCACCAAACTATACTATGTGAATACCCATATATTGGCCCACTCTGTCCTTTCAGTTTAAGTAATAGGGACAAGAGTTTCTGTGCTTCTGCTTCATTATGTAGTTCTAGCCGTAAGTAATACAATATGATGGACATTTAAAACATCAATATTGATGTTAATAAGATGGATTATAGGATGGTCAAGTCTACTTCACCATAATGGGTACTAAGACAGTATCTATTTAATGTAAAAATCAATGCCTAGAGCTTTGGGAGGGTAAGATAAATAAAACCATTTAATAGACCTGTAATGTTCAATGAGATTAAAGCAGTGATTAAGACTCCCCACAAGGAAACCCACAATCAGATGTATTCACTGCCAAAGTATAGTGACTTTTTGAAGAACTAATATCAATGCTTCTCAAACTTTCCCACAAGTTGAAAAGAAAAAGATACCCACTAACATGCTGTATGAAGCCAGTATTACACTGGTGTGAAAACCAAAGAGAAAACTGTAGAGCACTCTCCCTGATGGTCATAAGTGCAAAATTTCTTTTAAAAAATTTTTTCTCGCTGGGCGGTGGTGGCGCGCACTTTTAATCCCAGCACTCAGGAGGCAGAGGCAGGCGGATCTCTGTGAGTTCGAGGCCAGCCTGGGCTACCAAGTGATTTCCAGGAAAGGCACAAAGCTACACAGAGAAACCCTGTCTCAAAAAACCAAAAAAAAAAAAATCTTTTGAAGTAAAGAGAAAATAAATTTGAAAGGGGATAAGTATGAGTATATGAAAGGATTTGGATGCAGGAAATGAAAGGGGGGAGTGATATAATTATAATCTCAAAAAATTAAAGAAATTTTTTTTACATTGTTACTAGTTATAGAATACATTAAGAAGATTGTACATCAAGTCAACCAAGTTGGTTTCCTTCCATGGTTACAGGATTGGCACAACATTGTGTGTGTGTGTGTGTGTGTGTGTGTGTGTGTGTGTGTGTGTGTGTGTGTGTGTGTGTATTGATAGCATAGATACACTTAAGGACAGAAGTCACACACATCACAGAAAAAACCTTTTCCAAAGTTGAATATCCCATTGTGATATAGGGTCTGAAGAAAAGAGTAGAAGGAAAATATCTCAACATAATAAAGGTGACATGATAAACCTATAATAAACATTATGCTAAATGTGGAAGAAAAATGAAATTGTTTTTCTAAAATCAGGAATAATGACAAGAGTGCTTGTCTTAGTCAGTGTTCTATTGCTGTGAAGAGACACCATGATTCCAGCAACTCTTATAAAAGAAAACATTTAATTGGAGCTTGCTTGCAGCTTCAGAGGTTTTGTCCATTATAATAGTGGCAGGAGCATGGTGGCATGCAGGCAGACATGGTGCTGGAGAAATAGCTGAGAGTTCTACATTTGGATACACAGGCAGTGAGAAGGGAGACATGCTGGGATTGGTTTTGGGTTTTGAAACCTCAAAGCCTACCCCAAGTGACACACTTCCTCCAACAAGGCCACATCTACCCCAACAAGGCCACACCTCTTAATCCTTCTCAAGTAGTGCCACTCCCCAAAGATTAAGCACTCAAATACAGGAGCCTATGGGGGCCATTCTTATTCAAACCTCCACAGTACCAATTCACAACATTCTTGTTTCATATAGTGCTCAAACTTTTAGTTAAAACCGTAATAATGAGATCAACATAAAATAATATAAATATGTAAAACAGAACAAGGTTAAGACCGAAGCAGCAGGCATAGGGCCTGCGCAGATCTATACCAGATCCTCTGCATATATATTATTGCTTTCAGTTTAGTGTTTATGTGATTCTTGAGTGTATGAACAAGTGGGTCTCTGATTTTTGTGCTTTCCTTTGGGCTCCTTTCCTTTGGTTGGTTTGTCTTGCTTAACTTCAGTGTGATAGATTTTATTTTATCTTATTATATTTTATTTTGTTATATGTTATTATTATCTCTTAGGAGACTTCTTTTTTAATAGAGACAGAAATAGAGTAGATCCAGGTCAGAGAGAAGGTGAGAAGGAACTGGAAGGAGTAGTGGGGGGAAATAATCAGGATATATTATGTGATAAAAGAATGTATTTTGAACAAAAGGAAATAAAATAGTGACACTACCATCTTTTTAAACAATTATTCATTACTCTCTATCTACTTTAATTACATTCCTTATTGGGGGAAGTGCCAAATTTCTCTTTTATGATGAAATCATAAAGAAAAATAAACAAGTTTCTCACGTATTGCTGAAAAAAGGGATCAATTATCAGACACTGGTTTAGTGATTCACTTAGAGCACTGATTGTACTGCCTATTTGCCAAGCATGATTTCACTTGCTGCCTGGAACAGAATGACCTGGAGAAATAGCTAAAATAACAGGTTGTTGCTCTTAACAACCTGCTGACTGCTACATACCTTCTATAAAAATCTCTCTTGCTTGCCCACCCCACCTTGTGGTTTTAGAGTATAAAATGAGACTGTAAACTGTACCCTGGACTAAGGCCTTTTAGGAGCTATCTTGGCTTCAGTCTACTAGTGACATGTCCTCTCTTCTTCTTTTATTGGTATTGAAGTGCTTATTCCAGAAAGAGTCCTGTAACATTTCTGGAGGTCCCAGGGAGATTTCCTTCACCAGGACCCCAGTTGATAGAAAAATGATTGCTGTTCCCAGGCCTCTCAGCTCACTGAAGGTCTTTGGAATATAGAAGTATACACCCTTAACTGGATTCTGGGATCTCATTCCAGTGGCCAAGGAAACTGAATGTGAGAACCAAGAGTGGAAAAAAATAAGACTAGACTGGAATTCAGACCAGGTAAGGACACCTGGGGAGATAGGCAGGAAAGCCAGATGGGCTTAATCACCCAACAGGCGATTGCATCTGAAGCCTCAGTAGGATAATAAGGAGGTAGTGGTCTCCAGGGTATCAAAGGGATACCAAGGCACTGATATTGATCTTCAGAGAAATAGACTGGGAATTTAAAACGGGAACATGTAACTTCTGAATGGATAGTGAATGAGTTGTGTGAATGTTTGTAATGGTTCCACAGTGCTGTGGCTACTGGGTCTGATTGGGGCTCAATCTGAGGTTCTGTTGAGTTTGTTTCAATTGAATGGGCATTCACCTCCCAGAGGTGACTGAGCCTAGGCCTATACATGTAAGGTATAGGAAAGACCTCTAAGTCACTGTGAGACAACCAATCAGGCAGTCATCCTCGTGAGGGAGAAGGTGATCTTCCCCAGCTCACCCTATACATCTCACGGGGCTAGGCACATATAAACCCCCAACTCCTGGTTAGGGGTCTCTTCTGGTCATGGGATCGACACAGTCCCAATGTGAGACCCACACAGTCCTGCAACAACTGTTAAGCCTGAAGACACCAAGGAAGCACTGCTATTAACTTCCCTAGAGGATAATATTTTGCCCATGATGCTGTCCTCTACTGGTTCCAACTGCCAACATCTCACATTGCAGAGTCAGTTGATTCTATCCTTCCATTGGCATCTGTCTGGCACAATGCACACCAACTTGTCCTGCCAGCCAATCGTCATACTCAAAGACTACATGGGGATGCTCACTGGATTCCAGCAGGCTGCATTCCAGGGATGAGTGGGTTCCAGTATGTCCACTTAGGGAAAATCCAGATCTTTTCCTCATTAAACAAGATGACAGGTATGTTATCCAGCCACATGCTTGCCTGAAAAGGGGAGAAAGTCCCTCCATGATTTCAGAGAAAGGACAAAAGAAGTTTTCTCCTCATGGCCAGACTTAAAGGACGGACCACTCCCCAGTTCAGATATGGAACTTTTTACTGATGGGAGCTGAAGCCTGCAAAAAGGGGATGGACCCTCACATCAAGATGCTCAACATGGAAGAGCTCGTCCCATTTCTCATCTGTCTTGTGGTGGCACGGGGAGGGGAAAGATGCTCTTCTCCCCACCACACCCATCAATACCTGAGGCAGGTGGGCAAGCTGGCCCCGTGCCACAAGAGTGAGAGAGCCATCCCTGCCCCCGACCAGCTGCAACACTCAGTGGGAGGAGGTGTGGGTGAACCGAAGCTGTAAGCATGGGAGAGCTGTCCCTACTACTCATCTGTCATACAGCAGCGTGGGTGGAGGAGAGATGCCCCTCCTTACCCCTCGTTCCTTACCCCCCTGCAACAGATGAGGGAGCTGACTCTTCCCATTACCAGGTGCAGCACTAAGGAAAGTGGGTCCTGCTCCTGGCCTAGGCAGCATAGCAGAGCTGGCCCTGTTGTCGGAGGAGGTGTGGGTGACCCAGCTCCAATGTCATGAGCAGGAGGAGGACTGTCCTCATTACTCATCTGACACGTGGTGGCATGGGTTGAGGAGAGATGCCCCCCTGCCCACTGATACCTGGGACAGGTGGAAGAGATGGCCCTGGGGTCATGGGAGGAAGAGGGCTGTCCTGGCCCCTCACCAGCTGCAGCACTCGGGACAGTGGCCCTACACCTCACCTGGGCAACAGAGTAGAGCTGGCCCTGATGGTGTAGG